CTTCCTTCCTTCTATTTCTTCTCTTCTTCTTCTTCTTCAAGTCTGTAGAGATTCACAGTCATCCAGGACAGGGTTGGGCCAGCAATGCTTTTTTTCAAGAGGCAACTGTGCTTTCTTGTTTTTTTTTCCTTTTGAAGACATTTCGCTTCTCCTCAAAAAGCTTCTTCAACTCTGGTAGGATTCCGTTCTCCACTATCCTGCCAGAGCTGAAGAAGCTGCTTGGATGAGAAGCGAAATGTCTTCAAAAGAAAAAACAAGAAAGTCCAGTTGCCTCCTGAAAAAAGCACCTTTGGGACTTCTCCTTCCTATTCTTCTTCCTTCTCTTTTCTTTTCCTCTCCTTCCTCCTTTTCCCTATTCTTTTCTAATTTTTTTAAAATTCTTCTTACCTTTTCTTCTTCTTCCTTCCCCTTGTATCTTTTTTCCTATTCTTTTCATCTGCTTTTTCTTATCTTTTCTTCTCCTTCCTATTATTCTTCCTTCACCTCCTTTTATTTTTCTTCCTTCCTTTCTCTCTTCCTTCCTTTCTCTTCCCTCCCTCCCTCCCTCCTTCCTTCCGTTCTCTAAATAGTGAACGAGATAAATGTGGACTCCAAATCTGTTATTTTCTTACAGCCAGGAGGCGCTGCAGCTCAGGGCCATTTCTTCCTCAGTGCTCTGCTGCCACCTTGTGGGCAAATAGAGCATTTTTCTGCACACAAAGCTGCCTTTTCGCTAAACCATTTCCCTCTCTCTCCAGAATTCAACTACAACCGCCATGATTCCCAGCCAGTTGCTGAAGGAATGGAGGCACCAACCTCTGGAGACAAGAACCAGAGAAGAAACCACTGCATGCATTTCTCATTTCTTTCACAGCCAGCCGGCTTTTAATATTGGCTGATTTCACGGGTCAAACTGGACAGAATTAAAATATTAATCTGGATTAATATTTCCCCTCCCCTAGTTTAGTATGTTAAAAGAAAAGGATTAAGCTCAGAGAGCAGCAAGGACCTCAGTTCTCCTCCTCCTTCTCCTTCCTCCTCTCCATACACCCCACTCCCTTCTAACACTGATGATGTTATGTAGTTGGGCAATGAAACGTCTGCAAGAAAACCACCAAGCTCAGAGAGCAGCAAGGACCTCAGTTCTCCTCCTCCTTCACCTCCCGCCTCTCCATACTCCCCCCTCCCTCCTAACACTGAT